GAAAAAAGAATTAGTGTTGAGGTAAATATTAGAACCTGAACTTTATAATAATTTTACTTTTAAATGTGTAAATTAACAAAATTATGTTTGCATTTCAGTCTGATAAACCTGGCGAAAAGGGTGAGAAGATAGAATATAGAGTGTGGAATCCATTTCGATCTAAGTTATCTGCCGCTATTCTCGGAGGCGTTGATAAAATTTATATGTCGCGAGGAAGCAAAGTATTATATCTAGGTGCAGCATCTGGTACCACTGTGTCCCATGTCGCTGATATAGTTGGTCCGGTAAACACTATTAGAAATTTTTTTGAGAATAACACATTTATGCATACATTAGAGCCAAGTTAGCTTACAATTGCAAATTTGGTGTCGAAGTAATGCTAAAATAATCACATACATGTTTCTTTAGGATGAGTAAGATTTGATTTTACTCAACAAGAGAAACGTGTGTACAGAATTTATTGTGATATACGAACGTCTTTAAATAATATAAAATTATGAATGAATGTCTCAATATTTTTATGTGTAGGAAGGAACTGTGTTTGCTGTGGAATTCTCCCATCGAACAGGAAGAGATTTAATTGATGTCGCTAAAAGAAGGAGTAACATCATACCTATAGTCGAGGACGCGAGACACCCTCACAAGTACAGAATGCTTGTAGGGATGGTAGACACTATATTCTCGGATGTCGCACAACCGGACCAAGCAAGAATCGTTTCGCTAAATGCACAGAATTTCTTAAAGAACGGCGGACATTTTGTCATCTCTATTAAAGTAAAAAATTTGTGATTAAATTATGATTGAAAAGTATATTTAAGCTTAAATGTTGTACAGCATAATCTAATAATCGAATAATTTTAATCTTTTGAGGACCGGCATATTTTTGATGAACTTTTTTACTATAAGGGCTTTTCGTCAATGTTATGAGTTGAGGGGTTGAGTGGCGAAAAAGATGACGTCACTATTGAGTTTCTAAAGGAGCCTCCAGTTTAGATAAAAATGAATTTTTTTTTTTTTTTTTTTTAATATTAGATATTGTTAGAATAATTGTCTTATCATAGAGTAAAAATGTCATCATTGTAGAATAAAAATTTCACAAATAACGTATATAAAAACTTTTTTTATACAGTTATGTCCGTGCAATAAAATAAACTTTTTTAAATGTCTCATACACGATTATCGAGAAATATGTGCGCTGGCATACTCGTGGTGCGCGCCTTACTCTCCAAAATATATGCGGATCAATTACATTTTCGAACTAATTATGAGCAAATACCACAAATCCTAAAAAATTAATTAAAATAGTTCAAAGTCCTTAAAAAGATTTCCGATCCTCCAAAGGTTAAGAGGGGAAGGGAATAGTAATCTATTATCATGTCATTGATTTTATTTATTGTATTGTATTTATACTTTATTTCAGGCAAGTTGCATCGACTCCCTCGCTCAACCTGAAACGGTATTTGCATCGGAAGTGAAAAAGTTGTCTGCCGATAATTTGAAACCACAAGAACAAATAACACTTGAACCATATGAAAGAGATCACGCTGTAGTGGTCGGAGTTTATAGACCGCCACCGAAGAAGGCCACCTAAAATTATGTACATAAATATTAATTATGTTTATAAGATTCGTTTCGTAATTTTTTTCTAGTTATAACTGTCTTAACATCTCGAAGAAGAAAGAGGTGAGAGTACAGTTAACAATTTATATTTTTTGCGTCTTTTTGAACATGTTTAACGTGAAGAAAAATTCTCTCTTCAAAACTTACAAAATATATTTTTAAAAGATGAATATATCTCAAGTTCTTTTTATTTGTTAGCAACAAATTACAGAAATTATTAATTGCACGATTATTTCTATTTATTTATTATTTTATTTAATTTCAATGATTAATTCTATTGCATTCACTATCTAAAAATTATTGCCTCTCGAAGAATTTATTTTTCAAATTTTTATAAAAGTCGATATTCGTCGACATCTTGATGGCAATTGATTGGAGATTCAGTAAACGAGAATAGATTAAAATGAATAGAAATTTTAATTCATTTGAATCTACCTATCTTCTTTAGTATTCATTTGAATCTAATGTGTACTTTAGTAGCATTCACGGCATATTTTCACTTTTTTTAGATTTGATTGAATGGAAAAACTTTTCTTAGATTCAATTTAATTAAAAACATTCATTTTCTATATATTGGATTGTCCGGAAAGTTCGTGCCGACTAACCTATATAATTTCATAAATGTACTATATACTAAAATTTAAATTTTCTGCGTTTCAATTTTCCTTCAACATTGGCACGAACTTTCCGAACAACCCAATATATATATGACTACCAAGGAAAAAAATTTTTTTTTTAATCGGCCACTTAGCTCAAAGGCTTCCATTTCATGTCAAAAGAACATCCCTAAATTTTTATCAAAAAATATTAAGATTTAGAGATGGCAAAAATGGCTTAATTCGGATTTCAAATATGATGCTGTATGTTTTTTAAATCGCTGAACACAAGAGTACATTTAACTCTACGATATATGCCTTAAAAAACAGCCCGATTAATGTGAAAAAATGACACAATGAATGCTTGGGACTCTGCTAAAATTGATCTTGAACTCGAAATTTTTTCACATTAATCGGACTGTATATTTCTTAAGACGTATATCATAGGATTAAATGAACTATTGCATCGTGCTCAGCAATTAAAAAAAGATACAATACATTTGAAATTCGGATAAGCCATTTTTTCATCAAATTAAACATGTATTAAGAAAAATCAAAACTTTGATTTAAAAATCATTCACTAGCGATCTTTAAATCTTTTTTGATAAAAATTTAAGGAAGGATTCTTTTGGTATAAAAAGAAAGCTTTTGAACTAATTGGCTGATTTAAAAAAATTTTTTTTCCTTGGCAGTCTAATATATATATATACATATATATATATATTCAAAATTTTGAATTAAGCAATATTCACAATGCACTTAATTGAAATTTTTTTTAGATTGAAAGACATAGAAACGTGTAATAAGATTTCTTAATCCTGATGTACTTTATCAGGATTGCCTGATAAAGTCACAGACCTGAAAAACCGAGAAAAATCAAGGAAATTAAAATTGGTTATGGAAAATCAGGAAAAGTGTCAGAAGAAAATATAAAAGAGAATGGAATTTTGAACTTTGTTCACAATTCCCTTCTCTTAAACTGCTCCTATTTCAAATAATTTTTATAATTTTTTAAATATTACATTTGACGTTTATAGTTTCAAAACTCATGCACTTTAAACGATTAAAAAAAATAATTAAAATTTATATTTTATTCAGTAATTTTATTTGATTGTTCTTATTCGTCATAACTACATTCTTTTTTCCAATACTAATTTATTTTTTATTGGCTTGAATTTGTTCCCAAAATTTTATTATGTTACTAAGCTTCTTTTGCGTTTTATATAAGCTAACTTTCTTACAATCCTTGATTCTAAATGTTAAAATTTTTTACATATTTTATAATGTTAAAATTTTTACATATTTTATTAGTCATGGAAATTTCTCATTTTTATCTGGAAAAATCAAAGAATTTTAAAATTTATTTTTTATGGTAACCCTGGTTATGTACAATATTTTACTGAGATTTCACGCCAGAAATAAAAGTATATAACTCAAAATAAAAAATCAAATACTTAAACGATTATCATCCAAAGTCTCGAAAAATATACTGTATAAAAATTTAATAACGTACATATTACATATTAAATTTTTACTACGAAAAAAATGCATCGGAAAACCCAAATTATGTAATATATTTCTGAAATGTTGAATATTCCTATTGATAAGTCTGTTCTTTTGGCACTGAATTTTTGCCAGTTCATCTTTCTTCTTCTTTCCTTCTGAAGAGAAAAGGAAGAAAGATAATTCGTGCAAAAATTCCGCTAAAAAAACAGGCCTATTTTTATATCTGTATAAAAGGAAAGAGGGGAAAAAAACAAGCAATGCTTTGTCATCGAAAATATAAATATAACTTTTTATATAATATTGTCAGAAAAATATTACAAATATTAACGTTTACTTTCGTAAGATATAACTTGAATATCTTTCCAGCCTTTTGCGGTCAGAAAATATAATCGGAGAATATACTGAAGTTCTGTCACTTCAGTTTGTTGAGGCAGGAAGTTTTTAATCACATACTTTAACAAAAATCAATATGTATACAATAAAAATTGCGTTATATTACATCATTAATATTAGTAAAAATCTCGATGTGAGGTGCGGTACTCGTGGACTAGCCGCAAACACGCGAAAAGCAAAGTGCAACAAAGACAACATTCTCTATATAAATTTTCACAATCCCAGATAAAATAGAAATCCTAATCGCGTGAATTTAACAATGCTTATATGAAAAAAAATTCGTGATCTTTATTTTAATTAATGTAGAATACGCAAAGTAAATTAACTTTAATTTAATGATATGCATTTCATGATAGTCGAGAATGAACTTCCGAGGGTGAACAATTAAATTTTCCCTAGGAAACATTTCGACGAATGGATAGGCAGATGCGGTGTGATATTTTTCAAAGTTGTCACGATGCGTAATGCATGGCTGAAGCAGTGCGCATTTCGCGACATTTTTTTCGCGAATTCTTTTAAAATTCTTCTTTTTAAAATTAAATCGAACTAAGATGAGAAGAACTCATTGAAAATGAATGACATGTAGCATCCGATAATAAGCGCTTTTGAAACAAGTTTTCTTAAACAAAACTATTAAAACATGTTTGAAATTTTAATTAAGAGAAAGTTCTTTGATGATTGATCATGTTTTAGAATTACAAAAAAAAATGTTAATTTTTAATTAACTTAAAATGGATTTCAATGTGTATATTTTGACTTGAAGCATAAATCAAGTTAATTTAATTGTAGAAATAAAAAACTGCGAAAAAAGAATAGGTATATAATATTCTAATTTTTGGCAATATTTCAAATATAAAAATATATCTGTTTTAATCGAAATGCGCTTATTAACAAATGTTAAATGTGGCGGACAAAAATAAGCGATCACGCGATGTAGATCGGTCGCAATGCGAAACCCGTGGCTGTCGAGTTCCGCAGCTGCGAGAAGTACCGAATATCGCGAAACGCATAAAATTAAAGGCCATGGCACATAAAAAAACTTAAGACATAAGACTTAAGCAGTAAGCGAACCAATCACAATAGAGACTGTAAGACAATAACGTAAACAGTATAACGAATCCAACATGTTGATTTTCTTACTGTTTAAATCTTACGTCTGAAGTTTTTGTATGTACCAAGGCCTTAAGTTTTGAAAGCCCACAGTTGACGCAAACAGACGGAAGTTTGAGCGCGATCTCTTCAAAGAATTCACTAATCGGGATGTATAATTTATTGTCATGAGAAGTGCATCGACTATGAAGTTCGCGATCAACGGGAGCTTTCGTTGAAAAATTTCCTAAAAAGTTCCTTCATAAGCGACTAACTCGCTTGGTCAAAGATGCAGCGAACATGGATTCTATGATAGGAAGTCGCTGATCCAGCAGCAATTTCCTGTTCCCAGATGTTTTATTGCATTGAATAATTCATCTTTGAATTAAACCGCTATTTTTTTTCGCTGTCCCTTTGCACCGGAATGCATGTCGCTCGTCATCTTCATTCACGGTGCAACAATCGTCCGCGTCATAGTCATTCCGAAACATACAGGCGTCTTCGTGGATGACCATGACGCGTCATAGTCGTCGTTATTGTCAATGTCATTCGATCAGCAGTTTGAGCGCGTCCTTATCAGCGCGGGACACGCGTCGAGCATCATCTCCACCATCCGCTATCACGCTGTCTTGGTCCCAGAAAGCGATCGCTCTTGAACTTTATCGTATTTACAATACAGAGAGACACATGGAATCATTGTTGAGGTCGACGAACGCGTGTATGATTTTGTTTTTCAAGAAACAAATAGAATGTAAGCGGGTGGGATGACTTTTGCGATGGCGGCGACGACAACGATCCCGTCCTGTGAGCGAGGGCTTCGCAACGAGGTAGCGGTCGGATGTCGGAGAGTAGTCGGGATGTTGAAATCTAGTGGTCCCATGGTAGCCGACGATAATGACATCGTGACGCGACTCGACCGTTTACTTGTTGTGCACCAGATTCAGGAATTCCTCGCGGGTCTTCGGATCGTCCCGGAATACGCCCAGCATCGTCGAAGTCACTGTCTTGCTGTTAATCTTCTGCACACCCCTCATCACCATGCACATATGCCTGAAACATATGCAAAGATTTTTTTTCTTTTCCCACAGTGGGTGTGTTGTGTATATAATTAAGAAAATCACAAAAAGAAAAAAAAGAATTGTACCATTAAAGCTCATGTTACAGATAGTTTCAATAGATTTAATTTGTTGTCTTCTCGCAGATAGATCTTATCACAAACGGGAGGATTTGATTAATTAATGCGTATCGTATGGCGAGTTGGATTCTCCGGCTTGAAGAAACTCGCGTAAGTCCTGATGTCGCAACATGACGACCGCTCATAGTGATTTGTAATAGCTCCGATTTCTGTTTATCAGTTTATCATTTTCATAGAATAAATTGGCTTATTCTCGCGGTACAAATCGAGCGGAGAAGTCACGTCGGTCGCGTTTATAAATTATTTGCGCAGATCGACGAGAATAGCATCGATCTTTGCGAAAATAGCATCGTATTAGTAGTTAATTATCGGTTTATCACTCTCGCGAGATAAATCGGGCGGCTCGATGGCGGCAAGACAGTACTGTAAAGTATGAATTATTCGCGTTCGAAGGCTGATAAAAATAGTTTCAGTGCACGCGAAAATAACACTGATAATAACATTATTCGCGCGACAAGATGACAAAAATATCTAGTTCTGATACACCAAGAGTAAAGATAAATCTTGGCAAAAGCGTTACGAACTATTTGAGTGGAGTCTCTCAAAAGACTCGTCAAAGGATATTTCAATTATAATATCTAATATCTCGGAAAATGCAATTGTAAATTAAGGAAGCACGTGGCATGATCTTTCTGAATTATTCAGGATTGTGTTGGGTGTGCTCGTGTTTTCCATATTAATTATACGAAACGATTAATAACCCCGGCTGAGGTGACACTCGTGCACCCCCGCTCAAGATTTATTGGTCGTGCTCATGCATACGTCATGTAACGAACAACCGGATTGTTACGTGAATATTTTAATTATATACAACGTTCGCGCGGCGATACAAGGTCGTGTTCCTTCGCGATCGTTCCACCTGCAAAAACTATTCCGCAAATTGTTGATTGAAAGGAAAGTTTTAACTGGTGAACTGATATCACAATATCCGAATTATCAACATATGATTAAGAATCCTATAGTCCATATAGTCTCGGGAGTCAATCTAATCAGAAAGTGATTGACTCGAGACATTATCATGTGTCCTAATATTATAATATATATTGTATGATTTTGGAATGAAAGTTATATATTTTGGAAGTTTTATTATTTTATAATAATTTTAATTTTTTTCCCGTTCCATCATTATTTATTTTTTTTTTTTGTAAATTATTCATTACAGTCGTTTTTTGTTTTTAAGTGGTCTCATTTGTATCAAACAAAACGATTGCTTCGTCTTTCATAATTGAAGCGATTAAAATTTTGTGATATATTATAAAATTTTATGTACTTACACTCCCTCAATCACGACGGCTACTCCTGCAGGCTGCACAGCCTTTGTGACCGCTATCGCAATTTGCTTCGTAAGTCGTTCCTGCAGTTGAAGTCGTCTGCTGAAGATCTCCACGATTCTGCGGACAGGAAATTCTCTTCTTCTAAAATCATTCTTAAAAATCATCAAGAAATACGCCATTTAAAATCGAAGCTGAGTGCATGCAAATATTATTTCTTTCCAAATCCATTATCGAAAAAGATGCTTGTAAAAATTGAGGAAAAAAAAGTTAACGGTTTAGAATAAACTGTCGTTCGAACAGCGTATCGGAATGTCATCGATCCTGTTTCCATTATTGACCGTTTACTTTGCTTTTAAGCAGGCGTTTAACGAGTAAACGGAGATCCCGGGCCGTTATGTGCGTGAAAGTGTGGTCTTAGGAGACCAGTCTCGTCATATTCTTTCTTTTCACCTTAATATGTCACTGATCAAGGCCAGGACTATTTAACGTGCAATTCGACGAAATTATCAAGGCACGACCATAAATATCGCAAATTCCGATGAATAAAGAAGCGAAGTTTCTTCCTTTTTTATTTACACGCTCGCAATCTACCACGCAATGTTATGTTTTAAAAAAAGAAAAAAATTTTGCATTATATAAACATGTGTCTGAATTAAAATTATAGGAAGTAAAGGACGATACATTTTAATATAATTAAATAAAAATTTTTTTTTATCTAAGTTTAAAATTTATATTCTTCAACTTGACTTCAACCAAAGAGATTGACATTTTCAATGTTTATCGATTGAATTATTATTAATATAATAGTTTTATAAATATTATAAATATAATAATTTTTACGCATGAAGAAACGATATATGATACATGACAGAATCACAATTACGTTGTGTGTCCAAATGGAAGGTATTAACTGATCTTAAATCGTGAATAATTTACATGTCAAGTTAATCACTTGCAACTTGAAAAACTCGATAAACCTGATAAGATGTTTAATTAATATTCAATTTAATTACCTGGCGAGTTTGCTGAGGCCTAATACCTTCTTGCAAGGAAGGTAACCGATCGACACCTTGCCATAGAATGGTACCAAATGATGCTCGCACATGGAAAACATCTCGATGTCTTTTACTACTACCATCTCGTCGTGATCCTCATCGAATATCGCGTCATTAATTATGTCTGTAACAATGTCAAAATTTTTTTATCCGACTTAGCCGTAACGATTCGTTAACAAATACAAAATTTCCAACGAGTATTATTGAAATTATATTTCACATATGATCAAATATATCAAAATCTTTGGAAATGTGCTTTTTAATTTAGTGACAGACATATGAGACAGGTGATAACATTATTTCGTGAAAGATGTTCTTTCATTCTAGCGGGCGGATTATCCTGGCTGTGATTTATTCGATATTGACCTACTTACTGCGCCATGGATCCTAGTGGTAGTGTATACATACGCATGGATGGTCGGTATATATCTGTAGCTATATAATGGTGGTGCTACTGGTAGTCTCCGACCGTTTCCACGGCAACCTTAACAAGAAACACCCTCGCGATAACCGACAATGATGAATGAAATGGATTCGCCTACCCGATTGATCGTGCTTGAATTTTCCAAATGACAACAGAAAAGACTGATAACTCTAAATAATAAAATTTCTAACTTGTTGAATTCGACATATAATCATGGAATAGCTATCAGCACAAACGTGACAGAAATACATTCATCACATATTCCTTGCGAAATGTACGAAAATAAATCTCATACAATATTTATTTCTCGGGTATAAAGTCAAGAGATGGATCAGTGACTCTCGTAAAAGTAAAATCATTTCCTTTCCCACATAGGGGATGCTCTCCAACTGTAGAACTCGATTTTATGACTTGGTAGCTTAAACGTGATCGACCAATTCGATTAACTTTTATGGACTGCCACACATATGGCATTTAAAAAATTCTACCATGTTAGAAATCTTATGGAATTTATCATTAATTTATCAAAAAATATATATATTTTTTTATATAACATATATATTACATATATATGTATACACATATAAATATAAATGACTTGTTAAAAGTATTTGAGCGAAATAAAAGCCACAAGTAGAATTGTTCGCGCAAGAGAATGAGTAAGAATAGTCGAGCTTTCATACGAAAGTGCCTCGTTTCAGACCGTTGCATCCGTATTGCCGTTAACTGTAAAAGTTTATCTTGAAGATCTCTTCGTTGTTCAAACCAAAGTAAATTAAAATCTCCCATCCATCACTTATAAATACTCCCAGTTTCAAGCAGGATCGTTAGATACTTAATTATCACGAGATTCAGGAAAACATTATTAAACTCAAAATGAAAAGAAGAAAGAGAAATAATTCTTGAATCGAAATAAATAAACCTCGATAAATTTAATGAAAAAATTGATACAAAAGAAAATTTTCTCGTTTTCATAATAATTTATTTTTTCTCGTAATTCATTAAAGATTTTATACGAATTAAATCTCTATCTCTTCTATCCATTTTTTAATAATTAAAAATAAATGCGGATCTAAATATTTTTCGAAAACCGTTGCACGATAAAATGCTATTCAGCATATCATGCTAAATTCCTTTATACAAATTACGAGAACGACATCATCAAATAAGAAAAAGAATTTGTTCTCCGTGTCAACTTGATAATATGTGCGAATTTTTTTCCGAATTTCCGCAAAACCACGTAATTGTTCAAATATTGTGACATTTATATTGGATGTACGTGACGTGGAGGAAGAAGAAAAAGGACATGAAGGGGATTTTCTTTTCAAATTGTGCCTCGTGCGTCCCTGAGAATTCCATTTATACTAAGAGCTTTACGCTCTCTTTTCTACGAGTCGCACTTAAGTTCTACCCTCTTACCCTCTCAACGTCCCATTCTTTTTCTCTCCCTCGCTTCCTCATTCTGCTCGCCATAGAGAGCAAGTTGAAAGAAAAAAAAAGTGAAAAGTATGGTATTATATTTTTTTACAGAATACAGGCGCACTTCTATAATTTTGTACTATATTATTCTATTTCTTTGTACTATTCTATTTCTTGTTCTATTATTTGTACTATATTATTTTTGTACTATATTATTTTTGTACTATATTATTCGCAATAAAAGAAATCTAATTAAATCACGCGATGATTTCCCAGTTAATTACTTTATTATCCTTATAAATTGTACTTTTGACTTTGATATAATTACTTCACCGCAGAGGCTAATAAGATTGCGAAATAGGGATTTTTTCCATTTTCAATTAATGAAGAACTGGCGCTCTCTCTCTCTCTCTCTCTCTCTCTCTCTCTCTCTCTCTCTCTCTCTCT